AATATCATACATAAAACAATAAACAATATCACAATAAATTAATAACAAAGGCAGTAGAAAACAAAAAAAAAAAAAATCAAGTATGAGTCATGCTGAGTTAAAAGCCAAAGAATAGAAATGAGTTTTGAGATGAGTTTTAAAGATGGACAGCGAGGGGGCTTGCCAAATGTTCAATCATCCATTATCTGAACCGCTTATCCTCACGAGGGTCGTAGGCGTGCTGAGCCTATCACTCCTGTCTTCGGGCAGTAGGCGGGGTACACCCTCAACGGGTTGTCAGCCAATCCCGGGGCACATGTAGACAAACGATGTGCTCGCAATTACACCTAGCAGTAATTTGAGTGTTCAATCAACATACCATGCATGTTTATGGAATGTAGGAGGAAACCGGAGTACCCAGAGAAAACATGCAAACTCCACACCGGATGGCTCGAACCGGAAATGTGTACAGTGAGCCGAATGTGCAAACCAGTCATCCACCGTGCCACTTTAGTATTAGTAAACCTCTGAAATTCTTGGGATTGCCACAGTATTATGGATTTTAAGGACGGTAAACGTTTTTGTCAATAAACTTTAGTGAGCGGCTATGCTCATAGAATTCAAATTATTGGGGCCGGTGATTCTAATATTTGAAGTGGGTGGTTGAAGTCCACCAAAGTAGAGATGAGCACTTCAACTCTGAAGACTGATCACAGTTTTATGACATCGAGCAACGTGTTTACTTGGAAGCGTCCCGGTCATGTGCTTACTATCTTTTAGAATTTTTTCTTTTTTAAATGTCATCCTCCTACTCCACTGTATTATAAGGAAGCAGGATTGAAATGTTTTCCCTAATGAGTTGCAACAACTGGCGTTGCCACATTTTTTTCAATTTTGTCCAGCTCTTTTGGGTATCCCAAGGCATGGGCCGTTCCTTGGGGCCTCCTCAGGGTGGAAGATGCCCGAAACACCACATCGGGGAGGCATCCAGGAGCCACCTTATCTGGCTCCTCTTGATGTGGAGGAGCTGTGTCTCTACTCTGAGCTCCTGACGAATTACAGAACTTCCTACCCTCTCTCTAAGGAAGAGCCCGGACACTCTCCAGAACAAATGGTTTTGGCTATTTGTATCTTGTCCTTTCCGTTCCCAATCCACAGCTCGTGACCAGAGGTTCGCAATGTAAATTGATGGGAAAATTATGAGTTTCGCTTTTTCACTTAGCTCCTTTACCACAACAGACTGACACAGCGTCTGCCTGTTGATCTTCTGTTCCATCATCGCGATTCATAAACAAGAACCCAAGATAACTGAACTCCTCCACTTGGGGCAGGAGCTCGTTCTCGACCTGTAGGGGGCACTCTACGCTTTTCTGACTCAGAACCATGGTCTTATTTGGAGGTGCTGGTTTTCATCCTATCAATACCCCGCCTTGGCTGGACCTAGAAATTCTGTTGCTTAAGGAAATACTCTGGGACAAAGGGAAGCCAACCTCCCACTGGAAACGAATCTAACAATACGGAATAACCTCTGACATTGGTTGAACAGGGACCAAATGGCCCATGTTCACCGTGGTTTTAAAAAGTCGAGGTTTCCTTTTGGAGGGAGACCACATGAGAAGCCCAGAGTTCAGTTTGAAAAATAGCTCACCAGTGATAGGAACACTGTGACTTAAGAATTAACACAGAACAGTGTTAACATTTATTTGAGCTGAACATGGTATACCGTCTGGAACAGATATTCTGTACTTTGCTTGAAAACAAACCGTGTTCAGTGGGGGGAAAAAATGCAGGTTTTATTTCCCAAATTATTTCAACAGATTCATTTGAGAGCTGTAATTCTAATACTGTGATAACTGTGAGCAAAAATATTGTGGTATAATACTGTCGGGATCCAACGTCAGCCATGCCGAGTGACAACCCACATTTTACAGAGTGAACTATTTGGTTAAATGAAGTGACAATTCTCATAACAAACCCACATTTATTTTTGGAAGATTTGGTAAACAAAAGCCATGAAACTGTGTTCAGGCTAGATACTTTAATTCACGTGTGCAATGAGTGTACAAGTTTCCTCAATTGCAAACAAATATTAACTAAAATCACAAAAGTATCTACAAAAACAAGACGAGGCATACAATGAGAACACAGTCACCAAGAGAACATACGAAAAACAACTTCCAATGCCTTGAAAATGAAGCTTTTAAAACTTCAAAATATTGAACCCTTTTACCATTTTTTTTTTACAATATACAATTTTATAATTCAAAATGAGAGACTCCATGAACAGTATAAGAACAAATAGCATCAAGAACATTTGAAGAATGTAATCATTGCAAAGTGCAACAATGGAATTTATATTTACAATTTCACTTGTAAATATAAGTACACTTATTTACAAGTTCAAGAGGGATTGACACAAATGTTGTTGGAGGCCCAATCAGACACTGTACAATTAAGTTTTTGAAGGAGTATTGAGGAGATATGATATATTGTCCATTCTTTCGAAAGCTAAGCATGTGTGTGTCGATGCTCCTCTAGCAGGTGAGGGAAAGCAAAGGCCTTGTCACATTCGGTGCATTCATAAACTATTTGGCCAACATGGCTTTCTTGATGCCGCAGAAGCTGAGAAGAGTATGCAAATGACTTGTAGCACATATCGCAGCGGTGCTGTCCGACTTCTTGTTCGGCATGCATCCTCATGTGCAATGAAAGATCTTGGGCTGTGTCGAATTTAGAAGAGCACTGGGGACATTTCAGCTTGGTTTGTGGTGCTGGTTGAGCCCGTTTCATGTGGACCTCAAGCTCATGTCTTCGAAGGGAATGGCGGAGGGCAAAGGATCTTGTACAATGTTTGCATTTGAAAAGCTTTTCTTTTAAGTGTACTTTGTTTTGATGCTCCAAGAGAAAACTTTTTGAAGAGAACTGCATTGAGCAAGTGCTGCAGTTGTACAATTCCTCTCCAGTGACATCAATTTCTTCATCCTCCCCAGCCCGCTGATGGTTATTTTCTGGCCCCGACTTGCCTGCAGTCACCACCATTTGTTCCTGTTTACGGGAACAGGAGTGCTGATGGAAGGCATCACTTCCCGCAAATCTCTTGTCACACCTCTTACATTCAAATTTTGAAACGGAACGATGATGTCTCTGCTCGTGTTCCTCAAGCTCATTTTTGGAAGAAAAGATCATTTTGCACATTGTGCATGTCGGCACATCCGGAGAATGAACAGAAACATGGGAAATCAAGTCTCTGGCCTTAAGAAATGATTGGCTGCAAATGGGACATGTGTAACCATCAGTATTATTTCCAGGTGCAGTAAGCTCATTTTCATGGGTCTTCAGATGGCTGAGGAAGTGCTCAAGGGAGGAACTAGTGGTATTACAGCGATTACACGAATATTCACTATCAGACGTTGACTCTCGATGGATGACCCTGTGCCGTTTCAGATCGGATGAGTGAAGAAAATGTTTATCGCAATCAGAACAGGAATATGACCGGTCCTTGGGGGTCTTGGAACAATGATCCGAGAGGTCCTCTCGGACTTTGAAGCGCTCATTATTACCACAATGGTATTTCAGGGTTTCCGCTGGGCTTCTTTGAGAGACAGAAGATGACTTTTCAGGGAAAGGTGAGGGGTGTGCAATTGAAACTCCGTGTTCTTTTCTGTGCTCAGCTCTACTTGTCTTGGAAGGGAACACTTGATTGCATATGTCACATGGAAAGTTTTCTTCTCGGTGTGTAGACATGTGTTCTGCTAACTGGGAGGCTCCAGAGAAGCTCAGATGACATCTGGAGCAACGGTGTGGACGACTCTTGCCATGGCTATGTTTGTGTTTTCGCAGGGCAAAGAGGGACACAAACCCTCTTCCGCACACCTGACACTGTAACTCAGACTTGTGCATGCGTTTGTGCTGCTCCAACTGGGAGGCCTGGAAAAAACATTTGCCACATTCCGCACATTCATGAGGCTTTTCACCGAGATGACATTTTTGATGATCTTCCAGTTTTTCTGAAGTTGGGAATGTCTTTCCACACACATGGCAAGGGAAGTAAGGCGCAGAGTCTGAGTCACTGTCCTCACTACTACTTCCATCACCGACGCTTTCATTAGCCACAACAGGTTCCAGCTCAAGACTGCTTTCAGAGTTCTTTTGCTCTTTCAGGTGCCATTTTCTGCAGTGTCTTTGGAGAGACTTTTTGGTGGCATAGGTCTTTTTACAGAAACGACAAGCAAATGACTGGTCAGGATGCTCTTCATTGTGATGATAGCAAAGAGATTGCCTGGACCAAAACCTGTGATTACACAGTTCACAAGCAAATGGTCTGTTGGAGTCATGGTACGATTTGTGGATTTCCAAATCTGATGACGTGTAAAATGACTTGGGACACAATGTGCAAGAGAAATTCTTGGTTAAACCATGACTTTTCATGTGTTTTTCAAGATCTGTGGCACTTGAAAAAGTACGGCGACACTTTGAACAGGAAATGCATTTATTCGCTTGCTCCTCTCTCCCGTGTTCTTCAAGGTGACTGATCAACATCAAGCCATCGGTGAAGCTCAAGTCACACTCTGAACATTGGTACTGAACCACTTTATCTTTGTTTGGACTGCATTGCTTCGGATCTTCATCTGGATTTTGCGGATACTCCTTTGAATTACCTTTGCATGAGAACTTTCTCTGCAAAACTCCAATGTCTGTCCGTGCCTCATCTTTGAACACGAGAACGGAATCGGGCAGTGTCAGATTACGGTCTGCTTTCAGGGGGCATTCCGGCTTCTGATCTGTATCTTTTGGAGCGAAATAGCCAAACCTGCATTTCCTGCTGTGGTTGCGCAGTAGATTTTTATTCCAAAAGCCTTTCTTGCATGTTTTGCATTTGTAAGGGCTCTCTTTTGAATGCACACGAGAATGACCCTTTAGTCCAGCCTTGTTTTCAAAGGACAAATTGCAGACTGGGCACACTAGTGATTCAGAAACATCACCAACGAGTGCAGTATCTAGTTTACATGTCAAATTAGTACCTTCGCTGGGGTGTTTGTCATGCCGATCATCTTTCGCGGTTCGTAGTTTTGAAAGATGATGTTGAAGAGGAGCGGCAGACCCTGGTGGATCACTCGTTTCCAGTTTGTGTGCATTTAAAAAATGTTCCTGAAGCTGTGAAAATAAAGAAAAACGTAAAGAACAGTATGCACACGAAAATCCTTTTGTAAGGCTTTGAGAAGGTTCTTCCCACTTTGTTGATTGGCATGATTTTGAAGTACAAGTTGTCTGATGATCTTTCAGTTCTTTTTCTGGGAACGCTACACCGCATGTTTTACAAAGTTTGACGGTGCACTTTAGGCGATGACGTTTTAAGTAGTCATTCCTGATGAATCTCAGGCCACAATCGCACGCAAATGGTTTCTCGCCTGTGTGTAAACGGGTGTGTGTCTCTAACTGTGCACTCCTTTCAAAAGCAAAAGGGCAGTAACTGCAGGGAAACTTGTACTTTTTGCTCGAACGACGCTTGAGCTTGGGCGGAGGGGTTTCGTCACCGAGTGGGTGGCGAACATTTTCTGATGGCAGACAATCCGGTCGTGGAGTAGAATCTTGATTTCTGGATACTTTTGTGCATTTTTTATACTTCCTGTGGTATATCAGAGATTTTTCATGCTTAAACCCTGAATAACAATGTGGGCACCTGAACAATTTGACAGTATGCAATATTGTGACATGGCGGGACAGTCCAGACTGAGTTGGGAAGCTCTTGGAACAAACATTGCAGTCAAATCCCTCCTGCCGTTTCACTGGTTCATTGGCAAACCTGTTTCGCCAGCCCTTGCCAACATCATCCAAGCTGATTTTGGGAATGCAGATTTTCAACTGCAATCGCTTTCCTTTGCAATGAGAATGGTGTACCTTAAGATAGTCATACCTTGAAAAGCAGCTTCCACAGGTTTTGCAGCGGTAGGGATTCACTTCATTATGAGTCAAAATATGACGTCGCAGGCTTCGTGGCTTCACAAATGTCTTGGTGCAGAATTTGCATTTGTATTCATCTCCAGCTTTTTCGAGGAATATCTGCGCTTCCTCCATACAAGCCGGGATGTTTGTCGTTTCTAGTGAAGCCTCACTGTTCATGTTTGATTCCTCTTCCTTGGAAACCTTACAGCGTTCTTCATGCTGCAACTGCGATGCACTGGATGCAAAGCGTTCACCACAATGTACAGCAGTGTGTAAAACGGTGTGCTTTAAAAGTAATGACCTGAACCTGAACCTCTCTGTACAGTGAGGACACTTAAATGGAAGCATCCTTGGTGCACTGGAAGTAGGAGGGCTTTTACTAATAGTCTGGCTTTTCTGCAGAATGTTTTGACAGGCATCGTCATGAGAAGATATGTTATTGTTGGGTTGCGACGTCTCTCCACAAATGCTCTGATGATGACCAAGTTGATTCGGACCAAAGTACATCCCACAATTGGTACAGACTCGCAGAGTATTGAACTTGTGGCCGTTGTTGTGAGCCAGCAGGCGCATTCTTTTTAAAAATGTTCGGGGACAATATGAACACTTATGGACTTTGGGTCCAGAATGCTCTTGGTTTTGAGTCGGCACACACCATTCCATGTGATTTTCCAGGTTTGGTTTTTGATAGAAACTTTTTCCACACCAAGTACAGGAATAAGGTTTCACTCCTTTATGTTTGGAGATGTGAAGTAGCAAATAACGACGGGCTTTGAACTTCTGATTGCAATATGGACAGTGACATGAAGATATGTGTGTAAGACTGTGTTTCCTTAGTAAGTCGGCATCATGAAAGACTTCTTTACAAAGGGAACACTGTTGCGTCTTTTGTTGAACTGGCTCTTGTTCGGATTTAATGGACTCCAATGCTTCCCCGTCCAAAGGAGATGCCTTCCCTTCCCTTTGATGTGATTTTAGATGATAAAGCAGCTCTGTAGGATTCAAAAACTGCTTTTGACAGTTGGGGCATGGAAAAGGTTTCCCTTTATGATGCAATTTCACATGGTGGACAAGATTTCTGGCATTTGGAAGAATTTTCCTGCAAAGGGTGCACTGGACATTCTGATGGACAACTTTGTGACTCATAAGGTAGACTCTCTTCTTGAACCCTCTTCCACATTTGAGACAGCGGTATGGCCTTTCACCTTTGTGACACCGCTCGTGTTTCTTCAATGATTGTTCCGTGTCACAGTTTTTTTCACAATACTGACAGCTCAGGGAGACATTGATCTCATCTGATTTCTCAACATCGTTCTCCATCTCCTCAGTCTTTGTCTCTCCTAAAGGTGCCATCTTTGAGTTGCTGGACTTGATCTTATACTTGATCATTTTGCCTGTAATTTTAAACTCGTGTCTCTTCACATGTTTGCAGAGTCCTGACACTTGCTGGAAAACTGCTGGACAGACACCACATTTGTGAGACTGTTTAGTTTTAGGGACTGTCAAATTGGATTGCATCTGGTTGTTTTTTATGGTCACGTGTTCCTGTGCCATTGTCAACTCTTTCTTGTTATCAACGCTTTGCTCTGATTGTACTGCCTCTTTTAATTGATTAAGAGTTTTTCTGAAGCAGCTATTGTAAATGTGTCTGTATCTATTTTTTTGCTGAGTAAATGTAGAATGACACAATGGACATTTGAATTTGTCACCAACCTTCCCCTTGCTATGATAAACAGCCCGTCTGACACAATCACGTAAATGTTTCGCTCTGTTAATTGCGTGCCTGAAAAGTCGTGGACAGAGCGGACATTTATGTTTAGGCAATATCTCATTTTCAATATTTTCATTTTTCTCAAAATGCATCTTCCAAGGCCCCTTGTTTGTTATTTTAGCTATTTTCATGGAAGTAGGATTTTGCCAAACACCTGGAGAATTTCCTGTGTGCATGTTGTAAATATGCTTCTTGACTTTCTTCGGCGTTGAGTATTGCTTGCCACAATAGATACATACATTAGCTGTGCAGATGTCAAACAAATTAATGTAACATCGAGGCAGAGTTTCGAGCAGCGTCACATGAGTATCAACTTTTTGTGGTAGTGATGGTTGGGTAGTAGTTTCCCATATACCTAGCTTGATAGCTTTATGGTCACTCGATTTTGCAATGGGATTTTGTGGTTTGGAATTCTTGCATCTACCAGGGATACTCTTGTGTCTAGCTAAGGAGCCAGTCTGTGCAAAATATAAACCGCATCCATCACACTTATAAGGCGTTTCACCAGTGTGACAACGCATGTGCTGCACATACTTGATTATTTTTAGGAATGTCAAATTGCAAATGGTACAATGATGGGATTTTCTTTTTTTATGTGAAGAAACAGAAACATGGTGAGGTTCTTCAGTTTTGCTGCCCACATACTTGTCTTTGTCAGCCTGTCCATTACTCATTAGGTATTGATTTGATGTTTTGCAAAATTGGAAGATTTGGTTTGAATGTTGATGGTGGTGGTGTTCAATTAGATGATCCGCACTGTGGGTTATTTGTTGGCAAACTGCACATTGGTACGAATGACCTGGTGCAGGATCCATTTTATTCATAATTACAACAGGCTGTAGTTGTTTCCTCATTTGGAAAGAGGAGATCAGAGCACTACCTTGTTCTTTTGACTCATCCAAGCCATTGGTGATTGGTTGGACAGTACACTTTTCTTCAAAGTTAATTGGGTCAGGGTCCCTGCAGTGTTTTTTCACAGGAGGTTCCCCATATCGGTCACCAAGCATCAATTTTTCTTCCTCGCAAGTGTCCATCCCTTCCAATAACACCTTGGCATGTTCTTCTTCTGGGGGCACTGGACTTTGAAGTGACTTTTTCGAACATGGAGGAATGCTCTCTCCAAAATCCTTATCCTTGTTGGAATAGCACTCATTGCTCAAGTTGCTGTGCTGTGAAGAGGGTTTTATATAATTAGAAAAGCTGTTCTTGGTCTCAACATGCTCATCCAAAATAGTAGCATCACTAACCACACCGGTAGCGTCTGAATCTATACAGGATGTTTGATTCTCCTCCTGGAAACACATGACTTCCCCTTTGACAGAAATATTTGTGTCGATACTTGAGCAGGTTTGTTGGAGAAAGTGTGACATCATATCAACACATGGATTGTTATTTCTATTCCAAATATTATCGCTTACCAAATCAGTGTCTGTTCTTAGGGTATTTGGATTTAGAGAGGAATCTGAATTACTGCATGACCTCTGCTTGCCACTGGCATCACTCACTGGAACAGCGTTCCAAATATTGTCCAGAAGAGGCTGATTTTTTGAAAACTGCAAACAGGAACCAATGTCTTGGTGTTTGGTCTCCGGCATATTTGTGCATTCCATCAGTTCACAAGTGGCATTATTAGAATTGGACTCTGGCGAATCAACGGTTTGAGGGGTGACAGGCTTCATTTCACTGTCTTGACATTTGATCTCCGTATTTGATAGCGGGTTGTCTATATCCATGCTTTCATCATGAACACTGGAGAATTCAATATTCGTCTGCTTTGGTGGAGTAATATTTTCCTGACCCAAAGAATCTAATTTGTTTTCTTGACTTTGATGGAAAGGACTGCAATCCTCTTGATCCAATGCCATATTTACTTTTGGCTGTCCAAAGGCATTAGGGTTGTCATTGACTTCATTCTCCAGAGGGCATGATTTATTTGTTTCCTCAGTTCCTTTCTCCAGTGCACTGTCATCGTTCATCTTTGCAATTGATGTTTTTGTACATTCCGGTGTTACAGTCCTTTGCTCTTTCAGATGATCTGGGTGATTCTCTATGCTGGTCATGTTTTCACTGTCACTTACAGAGATGTCTGAGTAGTATCCTTCAATTTGATTGTGCTGGACTGCACTGTCATCTTTCATCTTTGGAATTGATGTTTTTGTACATTCAGGTGTAACAGTCCTTTGCTCCTTCAGATGATCTGGGTGAATCTCTATGCTGGTCATGTTTTCACTGTCACTTACAGAGATGTCTGAGTAGTATCCTTCAATTTGATTGTGCTGGACTGCACTGTCATCTTTCATCTTTGGAATTGATGTTTTTGTACATTCAGGTGTAACAGTCCTTTGATCCTTCATATGATCTGGGTAAATCTCTGTGCTGGTCATGTTTTCACTGTCACTTACAGAGATGTCTGAATAGTGTCCTTCAATTTGATTGTGCTCCACATTTTTATTTTGTTCTTGACTTGGATCTCCCCCTTTGCCACTGCAGTCCTTAACGGACTCTCCCTCTTCGGTTGGAATTCCTGGGGGGGGGTGATTTTGTAGTGTGCTACAATCATCTTTTACTGAACTATTGTTTGTCCCTTGTAGAGATTCAGCTGTATTTTCTCCAGCCATCAATGTTGGTGAACCTGGGCAATTTGCTTTAATCTCACTTGAAAATGTTAGCTTTTCAGGGGGTGTGAAAAGCCATTCTGATGGACTTCGTTTTGAAGATGAATCAGTTTCAGGCTGTCGAGTTGGACGAGCAATAAATTTACAAGAAGGCCTTGTTTCATTTACATCTGTGTCCGAGCAACTACTGACGTCTGAATAATCTTCAAGAAGCGATGAAGCTAAAAGTTCACAATTTGGTTGAAGTGCTTGCAACTCTGCTGAATAAGATAGAGGCAACGGTCCTGATGAAGGCAATCCATTCATGGCCACGTCTTTAATATCATGACCATCGTCTTCAGTTCTCAATGAAGTATCCTTGAGCATGAGTTGTTCATCCGTTTGCCAAGGTGTTTCTCCAAAGTAGTTTTCGTAAGCACAATCAGAAGTGGAATTTCCAAGACCAGAAGTCGAGTAATAGTTTGGATCAAATGTAGAGTCTGCTCCAGGGGCAGTGTGTGAAGCTGTGGGGTTGGAGAACTCATCCTCTCCCACAAAGGTCTCGATATGTTGGGTAAGACTTCCTTCTGGTTCCGATGTCCTCAACATCTTTGGCAGTGGTGTGACAGTTTGAAAATAAGAATTCCACTCATGAGCCATTGTCTTCTAGGAATCGGGGAATATATGCACTCTTCCTAAAATTGAAAAGCACCAAATCATAAAAATAGTATACAATGACAAGACAACAATGAATATGATTAATAAGCCCAACCTTTTCTTCAGTGTAGAAAGACTAGGGCTTTTCCGAAAAAGCGTTTCATCTCAAAGACATTCTGAAAATGAAGAAAAACAGCATTTTAGAGAACCCAAAAGAGCCAATATCTATTGCTACACCACTGGCTGATTCCCATCATAGGACAAAGGACTTATCCACTAAAGTTGAAACCTGAAGTTTACGTACACGATATAACAAAACATTAGCTTGAATCAATGCGTGCAAGGCACCTGTGATTGGGTGAATGCACTGTACGTATGTGGAACTCCCGCCTCCCGACAAAATGCAGGGATATCTGTGACGATTACAATGACATTAACTGCTTATTCTTTACATTACATAGACATTTAAATAAATAAACACTGTAAATAGATTTTTTTCACAAAAAGACTTTCAGATGTTATTCACAAACACAACAGTTAGTTTGTAATTGGATGATCAAGAACCCGGGCGTGGAACTTCCGTCTAAATATGCGACTGCTTCCACCTTTACCCGTGGAAGAATATCGCTAGTTTTCAGATCACAGCAATGCCTTATGCACATTGCCAATGGTGGTTACGTAGAGCTGGAAGATTTATAACAGATCTATCCGCTTGTCCATGCCGAGACAGTTTGTATATCAAAAGTAGAACCTAAATCAAGGTAATTTTTCTGCACAAATTTTATCCGCAAGTCGAATTGTACATTAAAAGGGACACTTGTAACTCAAGGTTCCACTCTTTCTATTTGCTAAATGCCAGGAAAAATGAAAGATCACCCACAGAGAAATGTTCATGACTTTCTTCTAAGTCAGAAATGTAGATAAAGTTGATAAATATTTGGCCCCATGCCTTGAAAGTGTATGACTTGGGTCAAACATTTTGGATATCCTTCCACACAACCTCCTCACAGACGGCAGTATTTTTGGCCCATTCCTTCTGAAAGAACTTGTCAAACTGAGCCAAGTTTGTCGGCCTCGGGTCTGCCCTCAATTTTGAATAGGATTGAGATCACGGTTTTGTGACGGCCACTACAAAACACCAACTTGGGTGTCCTTAAAACAGTTTGAAACCAGTTTTGCAGTATGCTCTGGGACAGGGGTAGGGAACTCCAGTTCCTCGAGAGCCATATCCTGCCTGTTTTTTGTCCTTCCCTACTCCAACACACCTGATTCAATTGTGCAGGCCTCGACAGAGCTTGCTGATGAGCTGATTGTTTGAATCAGGTGTGTTGGAGTAGGGAGGGACCTAAAACAGGCAGGATATGGCTCTCGAGGAACCGGAGTTCCCTACCCCTGCTCTGGGACATTGCCCATTTGGAAGAACCATTTGCACCAAAGCTTTAACTTCCTTGCTGATGTCTTTAAGATGTTGCTTCAGTATTCACAGTACTCGTTTTTCCTAATGATGCCATTTATTCTGTCAAGTGCACCGATCCCTCCTACAGAAAGACACCCCACAGTATAATACTACCAACATCGTCTTTCACAGCTGGGGTGGTGTTCTCAGGCTTGCAAATTTCCCCCGTTTTCCAAACCTAACAATGCTCATTATTGCCAAACATATCAATTTCCATTTAAACTTTGTCCCTTTGTGCATTTGCAATCCGTAATTTGGCTTTTCCTTTTGTGTCTTAAGTGTACTGGCTTCTTCTTCTCAGAGTGGCTTTTTAGCCCACATTAGCACCGAACTGTTTTTAAGTGTGGATAATAGCCCCGTTCACACGGCAACGTTTGGTCCGACGCTGCGCCGAAACAGATCCAGTCAAGCGTTCACACGTGCACATTTGCTCTGACGTAGCTCCACTAAAGAGCTTATACCGGACCAAATTTGATCCACCTCAGGGAGGTGTTTTAAAAATTTGTTCCAGAGCAAATGCTCGTTTGCGACGCTACGCCGGAACAAATGTGCACGTGTGAATGCAGCTGGGTTAAATTTGCTCCAGAGCAAATGCTCGCTTGCGGGGGAGTGGCCTCGCTACGCTCGCTACCAGATGCACGGAATCCGACCCCGGTCGCCAGTGACGAGGGG